GAGCGCAGACCTACGATAAAGGCAGCTAAGGCTACCTTATCATGTGGCTCCTCGATCTGGAGCACCTCCTCATTGAAATGGGGCAAGATAGTCTCTGAGGCTTTCATCCCTATCTTACCTGATGGTGGGCATGTGGGTTATTGGTTTCTAATGTTAGCGTCCCTTAATAAAGTGGGAGATGAAGGACCTATTGAGCTCTACAAAAGAGTGGATGGAGGAGAGTCTGATCTTGGAGAACCATTAGCGGGCAAACCCCTTCAAGGTGGTAGGTAAAGCTCTGCACATAATTTTCTCAGGCATGTTGTGGAGTGACATGAGAGATTTATATGTGTCAAGATGGTCGAGGGGGATTTTTGGTGCCATCGAAGATCTTGATGGTGGGCATCTTGAATTTCAAAGGCAGAGGGTAATTGACAATATCAGCAATAAAAAGTGTATCAGTGCGTCTTGCCAAGTAGTCCATGGTTTCAAGCGCATGTGCCTTGATAGCGTTGAGAGCATCCCCGAGTTGGTTTTGCACCTCTCTGATCTTCTCATCCCACTAATTAGGGACTTCCTCGGTCGGGTGATGGTACTAACTTTCATGGTTTTCGTACTGACTTTCCCTGTCTTCATTCTCTTGCGCAGGCTCATGAGGAGGCACTGTTGGGCAAGGGGCGTCTGACGTGGTCCTGGGGTGTTCTGGCGAGGGACCCCATGGTGGGGGGTTGCCTGACGCCCAGAAAGGATAGACAGTTGCTCCTCTCCTAGTCGGGGGGAGTGGGACTCCTCCTGCGAGAGGGGGTGAAGCCTCCTTGGGAGAGCATGAGTTGGATGATTTGCTAGTTCTGGCTCACCAGCAGCTGCATGGTCTAGAGGAGTTGTTGTTGTTGTCCAACGACGGGAGTAGTAGTAACAGATGGTTTTACAGGTGCAAGGGGAGGCGGAGCCTCCTCCCGATATGTCGGGTTGTTGTCTTCCAGCTGTTGACTCATTAATCTAGTAGTGATTGTCATGGATCAAAAGAGTAAAAAAACTAGTCGATTCTCACAGACGGCGCCAAACTGATGATGCACAAATTGATTTTTGTGCAAAATCAACAATCAAGTGTATGAACGAGTGGAGTTAATGAACAATAAATAAAACAATCAATAATAAAGCTGTAAATAAGGAGTCAACACAGAAAATCATAGTGGTTCAGTCCGGGTGATCTACTCCACTCTCGAAAACGGCAGCAGTGACCGAAGATCTTTATTGATGTATAATGTTGCCAGGAGAACACTCCAGGAGAAGTACAATACTTTGGGAGAGAGAGAGAGAACAATGTGTATAGAAAGGCAAAAGCTCTAGGTGTAGTGTGTGTAGAAATCTCAAGACTACGAAGGCATGTCCTCTACATGTAGAGAACTAACATTATATAGGCACACCAAAGCGGTGAAGCGGTGACGTGAGAAAGGGGTTTTCCACTATCTTGGTAAGTATAACCTTAATAGAAATGGATCTCCACATCCCGATATTTTCTCGCTCGTGTCCCTATTCCGTCAGAGGATGATCTTGAGCTAGACTGATCTTGATCTTGAGTTTAGACTTGAAGTGGTGTGAACTTAGGACTTGCATTAGAATGGAGAAGAGGGACAGGGAGGCAAGCCATGGGCGTTGGCCTTTGGCTTGGACTTCACTTGATTCCTTATTAACTTGTGAGCATGTCCAATTCCTTTTTGGGCTCTAGTACTTGAGACTTTTTTTGATGAGTTGACTCAGTTTTGATGGAGTTTTCTCGATTTGAATTAATTGGGCTTAGCCAATCAATTTTAGACTCATCAATATTATTATTTTTTTGTATTTTTTTTTCTGGGTGGGAAGAAAACATTATGATCATTGACTTCACCAATAGTTTCTTGTTGAACTTTCTTTGTGCTGACGACCGTACTGAATAATACCCCTCTACGGTCAAAATCTTTAAATTTAGCAAAACATTGAAAAATAAATAAATAAATATTAGACTGAAAAGCTGTGTTTAAATCTCCTGATTGTCAGATTTAAACGGTGAAGGCAAGAACACGTGGCTCAGAAAAGAGCACAGAATATATAAAAAAATTACAAGACAAATGACACTTTGTACCTCAAAAATATTAGAATTTCAAATTAGACACTCAATCAAATAAAAAAGAAACAATATGGCCAATTTTGGTAAAATTATCTAGACCTGCCAATTGTGTCAGGTGAGTGAGTTTGTATCATAAAATATTCTACTTATACCTGATTTATTTATTAATTCATGTCTAACGAGTCGTGTTATATCTAGTTCGTGTCATATATAAATCGTGTAAAATAGGTATATAAATTATAATTTTTTTAATGGAATTCACTCATACTTGATTTATTTATTAATCGTGTTGTATCAGATCTACATGTTTATAAAATGGGTAAATTAAAGAAGACTCAAACTCTCTAATTTCGTGTTGTGTTAACGAGTAGTGTCATATTTTGATATCCCTAAAATTACCTATAAAATTTTAATATTTTTTTTTAAAATTAATTAAAATGCAAATAAGTATGTATAAAAATAAAAAAAAATTACAAAATCAGCCAAAAAAATTTTGTCAGATCAAGCAAAATATATTTAATTTTGGACCAAATTATCACCTTTTAGCTGATTGGGATTGTAATGTAAAACTTCTAATCTTTAAGGTATAAATTAAAAATTAAAATTTTTCGAAGTATGAAGTGTCATTTATCCAAAATTGATATCAGTAAAGTAGGGTTAAATGCAGAGCTAAGCTTTTGACACATCGAAAAATCACAGCCAGGGACACCCTCTCTCTCTCAGAGCCCCAAGTTGCTTGGAAACGCTCGGGCTGACGGCAGAGAGAGAGAGAGAAACATGGACAGCCGCCCCTGTTAACCCTTCTTCTGTTTCTTTTTCTTCACTTCTTCTTCTTCTTCTTCTCCTCCTCCTCCTCCTCCTCTATCTGCAACTCGTTGGAGTCTCTGATACCAACATACCATCTCAGGTGCTTCTCTTCCTTTGACTATGTTACTGTGTTTTTGCTTGCTGGGTTTGAGCTGTTTTGGTTTGTTCTGTCTTTTTGGGTTGTGATTTTTTTGTTGAATGAGTAATGAACGGTTGACTTTTTGGGTTTAGTATAGTCGTTTACATTGTGGGTCGTGTTGATTTCTAATGGATGTGTTGAAGATTGATGCTTTTGTCTATTTTCTTCTGCTTTGGGGATTGATTGGTTTCTTGTATTTACTTCAGTGATTTAGCATGCCGGTTTTTATTAATGTTTCTTGGATTGTGAAGATTGATGGTTTTGTGTAGCGATTGATTCAAAATGGTAAAGTGACTTATGTATGTGAAGAGAAGGGTTCGTTTTGGTAGATTAATTGTGTAAATGAATCAAGATCGTATTTATGTATTTATGTTGGCATATAGTATTTGAATCTTGAAAGTGTATACTTTTTGTTTGAAAGCATACTCTGCTTTTGATTTTGGCCTTTTGAAGCATTATAAGTACTTCTAAAATTCCAAAAACTATTTTGCTTTAATGGACGTGTGACAACATGGTGATTCTAGGAGGAAAATGGATAGTGGATGTGCTTTTTGATTTCAAATAATAATTGGATGGGATGTTACCGAAATCACACCTGTGCATTTTTTTGATAGCATCTTGACAGCATATTATTTCTCATAAAGTCTATAGTGAATAGAGAATGGAGGATTTCTATTTGGTTGGTTTTCTCTAGGAAAAAGGAAATAAGGGCAAGTCTAAACTTGATGCTAAAATAAAATTTCGTTTCTTGGAAAGTCATTTTATTGCTGTCAAATAATTCGGGTTTAAAAAATCATCAAATATTCCAATTTTCCTATTGTCACATCATTTCATGAGTTTACAACATATCTTGGAGTCTATGCAATTGCTATCGCCATTCACCACTACAACTACTACTACATTCCGCCGTTAAAAGGTGTAGCTCTCATATTCTGAGGAGTCCTGCTATGTTGTACTCTGCTGTTCCTCTATACTCTAGCACCCCATTCCAAAAAAAAAGAGAACAACAAATACGGAGTTAAAGACACTATCAACTGCATTTGGCCTCAGTGTAGCCACATCACTACCAGCAAACTTGCTTTGTTGTCATTTCCTAGGAGAAGTTATGGCTTTGACCTTGCGTTTTAGTGAACGCAGTTTTACTTTTGACTTGCACAAATCCGTAAAAGAGAAACGTAACACTGTGTTCAAAACTCAAACTGCATTAATGGTGTCTTTGAAAATCCTTATGGTCGAACTTCATATAGTATTAGAAGCAAGAAAATGGGTTCTCAGTGACAATACTGTAGATGTAGCTTTGTCAGTCTTGTGTTGTTCCATTCATACAAATGACACTTTTAGTCTCTAGACGTACTCCGCTGAACTATCATTATTGGGTTTGAAGAGAATGAGCTAAATTGGCAAGGTTTCGGAACCTGATGTTGATTATGCGTGGCTCTGTGCCGGTTATCCATTCTAGTTGTAGGAAGGTGCTATTCCAGAATTATAAAATAAATCAAGCTTAGAGAGCATTGGTCGATAATTCAAACCATAAATGGATATAAGGTGTCTATAACTGAACTCACACATGTCTATAGTATAACCGAGCAATGGTGATTCCGAGAACTTGGAACTTTGGAATTAATTCAGAAATGTCACAGATGATTTACCAGACATCAATATAACAGATGATGGTGGTGTGGGATTCAATTGACCTAATCTGTGGAGGACAATGTCATCCCCATTCTAAATTTGCAGATGGGTATTTGTTGAGCAAGTCTCTGTTAAAGTTTTGGATTGCATATTTGTTTTTTTTTCAACCGGGAAGAAATATTTCGTGCATCTGCCCTAGGCTGAGTACCATTGGGATCTGCTATGCATCCCATGAACTCACCTGATGTTCTACCTTTTAGTTGAAGGGGATAACAAGAGCCACAGGCAGAAATGTAATGGATCTAATATTGTGACAAAAAAGCTTTCGAAAGTTCGATGACAACTAGACTTGAAGCTTGCACCTCCTTTACCACTTGGGTACAGAGTATAGGTTATTTTCCCTACTACCCTTTTTGTGCTTAGGCAGACTTACTATTATGATTATTGGCTATACATCTAAAAATGTGATTTTTTTGCAATCCATACATCATCCAATAATCAATTGACTTGGATATTTACCTGTGTATATATAGTTGTTCTTGAGGTGCTCTTTCTCTGCCGAATTTTAAGTTAATTTTGCTATTAGCTGTTGCCAGGCGAAGGGATTGGATAGGAAGCTTACATTTGGGATTATGACTACCCTCGGCCTAAGTTGACTTTCTTATGCTTATCAGTGCGAGCTCCTACAAGTGTGCTGAGCAAGTGCTCCTTTTTTGGTGGAATGTGTATGCGTAATTATGGCCTTGTGGTACATGATAACTTACGCCTAGTGTAAAGATAACTTATGCCATGGTTACAATTTGCCCCTCAAACCTGTAGATTATATACCTGTGTCGAATTGATGATTAGATATACAAATATAAAATACACTTGCTCTAGTTGTCTTTATCAACTATAACAAATAAACTCTTATTTGAAGTGTGACATTGAGCATTCATGCAAAATTATCAAGTGGCATATATATAATTAGGCATCCTATACTTTACTCAAAATTCTCTTGCTAACTATCAGAATAATCTCTAATTTCAAGTGTGATGTTGGCGAGAGTTCTTTAAAGATTTGATTATTTATTTATTTATTTTTGATGACATGGGATCCTTTCAGTAAATGTTGTGTATATGTTTAGTTTGGTTTCTTTCTTTCTTGTATTTGTTTTTCCCTAAAGGTTTTGTCTATTAGCCTTTCTCCAATTAAACAGTTTGGTGATGTATGCAATTCTGATCTGTATGTGTCATTGGATTGCCAATTTAGAAATTCCTGTTTTCTGAGTGACTAGAGTAGATCTAGAAATGATATTAGTGCCACTTGAAGGAAGGGTGAACAGAATAGATTTTGAAATGATATAGATGATCTTGTCGAGTCACCCACTCAAAGCATTTAAGGCACAGATCCGCATTTGAATTTGTGAAAGAGGGTAACTGTAAGTGGAAATGATTGTATTATTAACCTGACTATCATTTTGGGGGTGTGACCTGTAGATAGCTTAAACAGTGTTTTTTTGGGTGACTCAGATTAATATATGTGCATTGGCTTTCTTGAGATGCTGGAATTGTTCTTGTAGTATTAACTTTGCATATGCTTTGAAAACCCCTCTTGGAAGGCGCGGCTTTTACCTTTTTTGTTTTGCCGGTAAATTTGCAGATTATGTTACGAACAAAGCAGGTCGGTACAATCTCTCAGTCTGCTAGGCTTTTCCTCAGTGGGTCACGGAATGGTGCAGCAGATGGAAGTTCATGCACTTCTTCTGAAGATGAACCTTTTATTTCCAGAAGGCAGGATACAAGAAATGAAGTGCAACATTCAAAAACACCATCCACCTTAGTACCCAAAAGTTCTGTAACTGTAGGCTCTCTGATTTCTGGAGATTCAGTAAAAGTGGTGAATGCACACAAAACACCACCCACCTTAGTGCCGAAAAGTTCTGTAACTGCAGGCTCTCTGATTTCTGGAGATGCAGTAAAAGTGGTGAATACACACAAAACCAATAGTGCTGAGTATCCAGTTTCTCTGCCACAAGTTATTGGTGTCAATTATCCTAGTAGTATTGATCCTGCTCATAATGACATTACACATTCATCACCTCCTATTGCCGACCAGTTTGTTAAGGCTGGTATTGCGGCTGTTAGTTTTCTGTCTGATTTAGCAAACTATAAGATTCCTATGTCAGATGGGAGTGGAATGCTTAGTTCATCTCAGAATTCTATGATAGATCGGACAAGGCCCTATTCCAACATCAAATCCTCAAATGTAAAAGCTTTTAAAAAAGACAAAAACCAGGAAAAAGCATCTGCTGAGACAGAAGCAGGGTCAATTCCTACAAGTAGCTTTCATGGTACAAAAGTTAGAGGTGAAAAATCTGGTTCGGTCAAAGTAGTGAATCATACTCCAAATAGTAGGACAGGAAATTCACAAGAGGCTCATGGTATCTGTCCAGAATCTGGTGACAGGAAAAGGTCTATGCCTCAAAGACCAAAAGATTATTCAAATGACTTCATGGCAAATGTAAGGACATCGGAGGGAAAGGTTGTGGGGAACTCAGGTGTTTGCAGGGGGCCAAGAGAGACACAAATGCCAAAAGGAGTTGCTCCAATAGCTAGGCAGTCTAAGCTCTGGGCATGTGGTTGAAAGTGTTTCTCAGATATTGCAACAACTAAGGTGGGGTCATGCAATGGAAAACGCACTGGGGAAACTCAACTACTCAATCGATGCCTATCAAGCAAACCAGGTACTTAAGCAGCTGAAAGACCATGATGTTGCTCTTAATTTTTTCTATTGGTTGAAAAGACAACCGGGATTCAAGCATGATGGGCACACCTACACCACCATGGTTGGCATCCTTGGCCGTGCCAGGAAATTCAGGGAAATAAACAAGTTGCTTGACCAGATGGTCATGGATGGATGTCAGCCAAATGTTGTGACGTACAACCGTCTTATTCATAGTTTTGGTCGGGCAAATTATTTGAATGAAGCTGTTGATGTTTTCAACCAGATGCAAGAAGTAGGGTGTCAACCTGACCGTGTCACGTATTGCACACTCATTGATATCCACGCAAAAGCTGGGTATCTTGATGTTGCCATGGACATGTATCAGAGGATGCAAGAGGCTGGGCTTTCTCCAGACACGTTCACTTATAGTGTCATCATCAATTGCCTTGGCAAAGCAGGCCATTTAGCCGCCGCCCACAAGCTATTCTGCGAGATGATTAGTCATGGCTGTGTGCCTAACTTGGTGACTTATAATATTATGATTGCCTTGCATGCCAAAGCGAGGAACTACCTGAGTGCATTACAGCTTTATGGTGACATGCAAAATGCTGGATTTGAGCCAGACAAAGTAACTTACAGCATAGTTATGGAGGTCCTTGGTCATTGTGGTTATCTAGAAGAAGCCGAGGCTCTTTTCTTTGAAATGCAACAAAAGAACTGGGTTCCTGATGAGCCTGTATATGGTCTTCTGGTGGACTTGTGGGGTAAGGCTGGGAATGCAGAAAAGGCTTGGGGGTGGTATCGAGCCATGCTCGATTCAGGTTTGTGCCCCAATGTGCCGACATGCAACTCCCTGCTCAGTGCTTTCCTTAGGGTACACCGACTGTCTGATGCATGTAACTTGTTACAGAGCATGCTCAATTTGGGTCTACACCCATCTTTGCAAACTTACACCTTGCTCCTCAGTTGTTGTACGGAGTCCCAAACATCATATGACATGGTATTTTGTTGTGAGCTTATGGCAGTCACTGGCCACCCAGCACATGCATTCCTACTATCCATGCCAGCAGCAGGACCTGATGGCCAGAACGTGAGAGATCATGTCAGCAACTTCTTAGACCTTATGCACAGTGAAGATAGAGAGAGCAAGAGGGGACTTGTGGACTCAGTGGTCGATTTTCTTCATAAGACGGGGCTCAAGGAGGAAGCTGGATCTGTTTGGGAGGTGGCTGCTCAGAAGAATGTTTATCCAGACGCAGTTAAAGAGAAAAGCTCGTCTTATTGGCTTATAAACCTCCACGTTATGTCAGATGGAACTGCCGTAACTGCTCTATCTAGGACGCTCGCCAGGTTTCGCCAACGGATACTTGTGTCAGGGATTTGTCCCAACCGCATTGATATTGTGACAGGATGGGGGCGAAGGAGTCGGGTGACGGGATCTTCTCTGGTGAGGCAGGCAGTGCAGCAGTTGCTGCACATTTTCAGCTTTCCTTTTTTCACTGAACATGGTAATTCTGGATGTTTTGTAGGGTGTGGGGAGCCTCTTAATAGATGGTTGCTCCAATCTTATGTGGAGAGGATGCATTTGCTGTAGCTGAGTTATGTTTTTCAGTCTTTGTACTTAAACTCCAGTTTTGTTGTGGAAGAGGAACTTGCATATCCTTCCTCAGAGGCATTGGTATGTATTTGAATTATGATGTTCTGTTAATTTAAATTCAGGTAGTTCTTTTTACCTGTGGTTGCTAGCTTTGAGACTTCTACTCTTTATTTCATTTCTAGTTCATGCTATAAAGTTTTGATTAGGACTTGATGGTAGTTGATTTGATCCCACCAGGTTATCAAATAAAAGGGTGTGATTGCTAGGCATGTTTGTTTGGTTCAAATATTAAAGGGTAGGATTAGATTAAATTAATTTAATGACGATTTTAATATCTTGTTTGAATCATATTATACGTCCCAACTTTATAACATGAGTCAATATCGGTCGGATGCTAGAGTTTCAAATAACAATAAATACAATACAAACGAAGAACATGTGATAGGTCGTGTATAAAGTTCATATTGATCGATGTTGCAATTGAAAATAACAAGAATACATCTAACTCGATTTTTAGTAAGATTGAATGCAAGGGTAGTTTCTATGACTTTCAATCATATACTACTGTACATCACTATGTAATCCAAACATGAGATTGTTATTATAGTAATGTCCTCACAACATCTTGCAACATTGATCCAAACATAGTAAATATGAAATAGGATAAAACATCGCCAATCTTGCGCATCATTTAGATAGACATGTTCTTTTTGTTACATGTGGGTAAGAGTGAACCCTTACCATTGGTCACTTCCCCCACCTCATAAATTACCTGATTTTATCATCGATGATGTCTTCTAGTGTCCTTAATCTCTCAATCTCATGATGATTATTGATTATAAATTTAAATAGGATCCACTTCAGGGGCAGAGCCAGGCTTTTCCCACAGTGGGGGCAACATAAAATTCAATAAGAGTGTTAACATTTATTTTTGTAAAAATAACTGCATAAAAGAGCAAAAAAAAAAAAAACCTCACTATAAAAGCTATTCATAAATGTCAATTAAGATCATACGAGTAAACTTATTTCTTGAATTGAAGTTTCATTATTATCCAATTTTTTAAGAGATCAATCATTGTACATAATATTTCAAAGAGATCGATACACTCAATTCAAATTCAAATGATCATAGTTGCTAACTTTTAGCCAAAAAAAAAGAAAAGAAGTAATAATAACATAACTCTAATTATAGTGCTAAGAAAATTAAAAAAAAATTGCAAAAATTGTCAAAATTATAGAAATTATTTATGCGTTATCTCTCGCAATAGCTCTGACAGAATTTCTCATTTTCTTTAAAGCTATCCACTCAATGTACTTGTTAAACGCTAATAGAATTAAAAACGAATTGACGAAAGATTAAATAAAAAAGAAAAAAGAGAGAAAAAAAAGTAAGGGAATAACAAAAGAGAAAAATTATGAGAAAATAATGTTTACAATCATGTATAGTTATTCATAAGCCCGAATTTGACTAGACAAGCTCAATCCAAATAAATCGAGAAAGCCCGAAGAAAGTCCAACTGGACATGGAGTCATGAGTCCGTAAATCAACACGGAGTCATGAGACCGTAAATCAACAAGGAGTCATGAGACTGTAAATCAGAAAGGAGTCATGAGATCGTAAATCAACAAAGAGTCATAAGGGCTACTCGTAAATTAACACGGAGTCAAGTGGAGCCAAAGCCCCAAAGGCAAACGCCCAAGGGGGCGTCGCCCATGGCCAGGCCCTCCTGGTTCTTCCTCCTTTGTCCTACGCAAGCCCAAGCCTACTCCGATTCAAGTTCAAGGTCAAGACCAAGTCTAGGACCAAGCTCAAGATCAGGATCATCCTCCGACGGAATAGGGACACGAGCGAGAGAATATCGGGATACGGAGATCTAATCCTACTAAGATTATACTTACCAAAATTGTGGAAGACTTCTCACTCACGTCACCGCCTTACTCTCGCTATATAATGTACACCCACTCAGTATTGAGGGCACGCCTTTGAAACCTCTACACACCTCTCTACACACTTTGTTCCCCTATCCCAAAGCATTATAACTCCCTCGGAGAACCCTTTTCTGGCAACTTTGGTTCACCAATAAAACACCTCCGGTCACTACAACCGTTCTCGAGAGTGGACTAGGTCACCCAGACCAAACCACTATAATATTCTGTGTTGACCCTTTATTTACAGTTTTATCATTAATTACTTGTTTACTGCTTATTGATTGCCTCCGTTCACATTCTTGATTGTTTATTTTGCGCAATACCGATTTGTGCATTATCAGTTTGACGTCGTTTGTGGGAACGACTAATTTTTCTACCCTCTATTTCAATCCATGATGATCACTACCCGATCAATGAGCCAATAGCCAGGAGACAATAACCCGACTCACCGGGAGGAGGCTCCGCCTCCCCTCATACCATCTGAACCATCTGCTACTACGACCTTTGCCGAGCAGCAGCAACAACTCCTCCAAACCATGCAACTGCTGGTGAACCAAAATCAGCAAATTATCCAGTTGATGCTCGCCCAAGGAGGCGTCGTCCCTCACCCAGTAGTCCCTTCTCAGCGTGTAGGGAGTCTACGAGTTCCCTAGGAGGATGAAGACAGAGAAAGTCAATTCGGAGACCACGAAAACCAATACCCGATTGAGGATGTGCCCAACCACTGGGACGAGAAGATTAGGGAAGTGCAAAACCAGCTTGGTGATGCCCTTAACGCCATCAAGGCACATGTGCCTGAAATCGTGGACTACTTGGTAAGACGTACTAATACGCATTTTATTGTTGATATAACCAATTACTCTCTGCCATTGAAATTCAAGATGTCCTTCATCAAAATTTTCGATGGCACCAAAGACCCCGTCGACTATCTTGATACATATAAGTCCCTCATGCAATTCCACAACGTGCCTGAAGAAATTATGTGCAAAGATTTCCCAACCACTTTGAAGGGATCTGCTCGCCAGTGGTTCTCCAAGCTTAGACTTTCCTCCATCCGTTCTTTTGCCGAGCTAAGTAGGTCCTTCGTCTCCCACTTCATTAGGGGACGTCGGCATCAAAAACCAGTGACCCATCTACTCACCATTAAGCAAGACAGGGACAAAATCCTCATAGACTACCTTGCCCACTTCAATGAGGAGATTCTCTAGGTTGAGGAGCCAGATGATAAGGTAACTCTGGCCGCCTTTATCGTCGGCCTCTGCACATCTAGTTTCATGTTCTCAATCCTCAAAAAGTCGCCCTCTAGCATTCCCGAGCTGTTGTCTAGGGCACAAAAATACATGAACGCTGAGGATATTACCTAGGCCAGACGAGGTGAGTTCTCCCATGGGGGCGAGAAAAGGAAAGACGCCCGCGAAGATAGGTGGGAGGCGGAGAACAAGAGAAAGAGAACCGAAAGAGTCTCTGTCAAGGACCGCCTTGGTCCGTACCCCCCAAGAAAACGACAACCTTTCATGCCACTCAACGCCTCGGTGGAGCACATCCTATTCCAAATACAAGATGACCCCACGTTCCGCTGGCTTGGAAAAATGAAGTCCGCCCCAAATCGCATAAATCACAGCAGGTACTGTTGCTTCCACTACGACCATGGCCACGACATTGATGACTGCTATGAGCTCAAGAGGCAGATCGAAGAATTCATACAATGTGGCCAGTTGAGGCAGTACGTTGTTGGCAGAGGACAAGCCCCACCACCTGGCCGGGACTAGGATGACAAAGAACGCCAGCAACCCCTCAGAGAAATCCAGACAACCTCCTAAGGGACAGGAAGATGATATGACTCCAACTCTGCCAAGGAAACATTGGCCCACCTATGGGACATCGAACGCCTGAAGATTTCATCCCTTTTATCGTTTCAATTGATTTATTTTATTATTCATTATTTTCTGAAATAAAATTTTACGAAGATTATTATGTTCATAGCTATCTTACTTTCATTTCAAATAGTTTATGACCTAACAAAAAGGCAGACAAAAGGCGCCCAACCTTAGGCTCCCAGCACTAGGAGCCTACCACCAGACGCCCATCACCAGGCGCCCAGACGAGGGGTCTCGCCCTCTCCATCTTGGGCGCCCCCCATGATGTCGCCTAGATAGGGGGTCTCGCCCTCTCCACCTTGGGCGCCTCTATGATGCTGTTAGATGAGCTCTTTACCTTGGGAGCCTCCCATGATGCCTAAACGATGGGTCTCGTCCCCTCTCACTAGGCGTCCAACACCTTAAGAGTCCAACTCCTTAACGTCCTCCTCATCTCCATAGAATAAATCTCTGCCCTAGTAGCTATCTCAAGTGCTACTTAAAGGTTAGCCTCTAGATGGACAGCACTCTCGTGCGCTAGCCTCAACTACCCAATGGCATTCTCTTGTGCTGCTCCGTGGCATCCTTTCATGCTTGCCACACGAGCCCTACTTGCTCTTCAGCAGTCCCCGTGTCTGCCTCTCTGATATCCCAGAGGTCACAGACCTCTAAAGCCTCTTGTTGACCAAAGTTAAATCAAAACAGGATAGCTATGTGGAGCTACAGTCCCCATAGAAGACAGCACAAGAGTCTCAACTCCTACAACAAAACTAGGGTTAGCTCTGGTACACAGAAGTCTCAGTCTGAGAAGGAGTGGGGGCACCACTGGATCCCGCTCTCGAAAAGTAACCTAGACATCGGACCTTGACCGAGAAACAATGGGGGCATCAAACCTCGCCCTCTTGGAAGGATGAGAAGATACCACCCTAAAAACACAAGAGAGTCTCCATCATCGCTCTGTCAACAGGGCGCCTACAATTATAGACAAGGTCAGTTAGTGACCAAACACCAGAGAGGTGTCACCCATAGCAAGACTCAAGGCGTCCCCCAAACAAAGCAGTGCTCAAGACCTCCTGGCGTCCCCCAAGGTGCCCTGTCAACATCTTGGCGTCTCTTAATACGTCTGCCTACTTACCTGGCGCTTGTCTACCTGACACCCATCTGTCTGGCGCCCATCTACCTGGCACCCGCCTGCTTGGCGCCCATTTGCCT